GCTCTCAGCGTGGCAATTTCGACTCCTGCCGCGGCGCGTAACCTGACGGGCGTGCCTGTGAACCGAACTATCGATTGGCCGCGTACCACCCGCGTACCGTCTCACGTTCCTCGTTCTCCCTCGTAACGAGGTAGCGAATTAATTAAACCATCCCGAGTACAATGGCAAACTTGAACAGTCTTTTTCGATCAATCTTAATCCGTCGAAATATCAGTGGACATCAACGTCCTTTGATTCCTTCTTACTTCTTTTTGTTATTGGTGTGGAATCTCGGTTATATATGGAGATAGGATAGAAGACGATATAATTGGATGAGTAATATTCTGAAAGTGTCTAACAATAACGATATATGCGAGCCATTTCTTCTTTTTCTTTTTCCTCATGAACGTTAAAATATTATTTTTTTATTTCAACTTCGATCGATGGAAAAATTTCTTTAAATCTTTTTTTCAAACCATTCGAATTATTGGACAATATTTAGAAAGTGTCTAACAATAACGATATATGCGAGCCATTTCTTCTTCTTCTTTTTCTTCATGAAATATTATTTTTTATTTCAACTTCGATCGATGGAAAAATTTCTTTAAATTTTTTTTTCAAACCAATTCGAATTATTGGATGGACAATATTTAGAAAGTGTCTAACAATAACGATATATGCGAGCCATTTCTTCTTCTTTTTCGTTCCTCATGAAATATTATTTTTTATTTCAACTTTGATCGATGGAAAAATTTCTTTAAATCTTTTTTTCAAACCATTCGAATTATTGGACAATATTTAGAAAGTGTCTAACAATAACGATATATGCGAGCCATTTCTTCTTCTTCTTTTTCCTCATGAAATATTATTTTTTATTTCAACTTCGATCGATGGAAAAATTTCTTTAAATCTTTTTTTCAAACGAATCGAATTATTGAAAAAAAAAAAAAAAAAAAGGATTGAGAGAGGATTCGAAAGATACTTTGGAGAATGGCACGGATAAATATTTCATATTCAAATATAATCACTCGGCTCGATACAGTACAGGGAACAATTGACCGAGGAGTTGGCGCGAAATCACGAACGGGCTTCGTGGGACGTGGAAGAGGTAATCGAAGCACGTGTGAGCGAACGATGTCGAGAATTTCAACGAACCCCCGATAACTGTAAAGCAAACGATTTTTTTCTTCTTCTTCTTCTTCTTCTTCTTCTTCTTCTTCTTCTCTATTGTTTGTCTACCGTCGATTCTTGTCGCGATCTTCGATCGTGTCGCTTCTTGAATTAGATCTTTAAAATCGCGGAAAAAAGTCAGAACGACATTCCGAATAATAACTTGGATAAATACACGTACGTGCGCACACACACGTGTTTATCAATATGCACATTGGAATTATTTTTAACATTTACTCATTGTTTGCCGTTCAAATATATCCGTAGTAATATAATAATTATAATGTAATAATAATATTAATATAATAATAATACAATAATAATAATAAATAATTTTTTTATCCTCTTTTCCATTTAAAAATATTATTCATTGTTCGAATAATTTAATCTTTGCAATTGTTATTTCAACGATCGAATTAAATCGAAGATCTTTTTTTTTTAATAGCAAAGGAAATTCATCAATGGAATGCGTGAACGAAGATCGCGACATCTATGATGAATTTCAAATTGTATAAATATTAATGAAGCTATTTCGCAAGCAAGAGCGACCGATATTATTCGATTTTCCTCTTCCTCTTTTTCTTTCTAAATCTATTATTAATTACTACCCCTCTCCCCCCTCCCTTTTGTACGAGAAATTCTCTCAGCAATTCCGCGGATGTGAGCACTTTTTCGAGATGATCGACGATGTCAATTTTGGCGAACGAAAACTATACGTGTAAAAGAAGTGTAGGACGATCGTGAGTAAATCGTGATGAAGTTTAAGTCACGATGTAGAAAAGAGATTGCGACTTCTAAGGTAAGCGGAATGCTGACTTATACCTAACAAGGTTCATTAACACTAACTATGAATATTAGCACATTGACTGCCGTCACGATACATTGGAATATGCATGCACATGTATTATACAGGATGTCTCACGCGACTAATAAGTCGACTCGGCTAGATTTAAAACGGTAACGACTAGAAAAGAAAAAAGAAAGATGTATATATAATAATGAATGGTTTCAAATAATGCATCACGTGATGTTTACGTCTACGTTTCTATTAATAGAATCACGTACATATATACACGTTTTTAATTAACAGATTTTTAATTTTTCGTGAAAGAAGAAAAAAATATATGGAAACATTTAACAATTAATCCCAACATTAATGTATTAATACTTAATTTTTTTTCTTTTTTTATTTTTTCTTTATTTATATTTTTATATTTATAATTTTTATTTTTTTTCTTTCGTGGAAAAAGAAAAAAAAATATGGAAACATTTAACATTAATTAATCTCAACATCAATATATTAATATTTAAAATACCGAGTGTATTTTGTTCAGTTACGTTCATCGATTGTCATTCATGAAATTGTGACATAATAAGAAATAAGAATTTCATAATATAATTTTAATTTTATACGAATAATATTACGAATAAATAATACAAACTTCTCGTTTGTAATCTAATCTCTGATTTCTATCTATACATATACGGTTCCATATACGGATGGATCAATTAAAATAATTAATTCCGACATTATCGTTCATCGGTAACCTCGATAGAAGTCGAGTTCGTATGAATCGCGGTAGAGAGAAAGAGAGAGAGAGAGAGAGAGAGGGAGAGAGAGATTCATGATTATTCACGAGGAAAAATGAACAAGAAAAATTATACCAAACAAAAACTAACAGACAAAACCGTTTACACGACATAAAGGAATAACCGTTATCCACGACATAAAACTATTAACGCAAAGATATAAGCAACCAGTATCCAATTTTTTATCCAAAACAAAACATTTCGCGTGAACACCGCTAACAATCGCAATAATAAATCGGTAACTACAACACGATTCGTCATTTCTTTCTCCCCTTCCAACTTCCACGAAATCCTCGAAATTCCCTTCTCGTGTTGCATACGAGGCGAGGAAGGAATCCAAGGTTAAAGAAATTTAGAAAAAAGTAAGACATTAAGACGCGGCCATTCGTGAAAATGACCATTTCAAAATGGCCGTAAAGATCGAACCGAGCGATACGCAGCTCGATAAAAACACAATGGAAAAAAAATTAAAATCGTACAGGCGAGGTTGGAAAGAAATTTAAAAAGAAGGCAGGAAGGAGGAGTAAGTATATAAATACGAATACATCGAGGCTAGGCGACTAGACTGTCCAAGGCTTCTTAGAAAGCTCTTAAAATGCGAATAGCGTGGCCGTGAACGGCAGAACGATACTCGCGAAGACGAGCAGGCACGGGAAATTCGTCACGTAAACGGCGGACAATGACTCCCTGCTACCTGTGAGCCAAACGACTCGCTAAGGTACCCGTTAGTTGCTCACCATGAAAAACCAACGAATCACCTACCGCAGCGCGAATCGTGTACCCGCGCATGCCCGTGCATCGATACCTAAATCGCTATGGGTCTCGCATGGATTTCGCACGCAACAACAAACCCGACACGATTGTCAATCGCTCGGAGGAAATTGTTTAAGAGGTTAACGCTTTAGATAGTCGCTCTGCGAGATGAGAAATTTTTTAATCTTAAAAAGATCGATTAGATTTTCGTTGATGGTAACTAAATTTCTAAATTTGAATCGAGTTTTATCCCGTGTTAAAAATCTTTCTAAAACGATTTAATAATTTTATAATGCTCGACCGATTTTATCGATCATCCATATATACGAATCATGCGTCCTTTATAAAATTCTTAACACGTTTACGAGTGAACTCGTTCCAACTGTGTGCCAAGTTCTGTTAGTATTTCTCTTCTTTCTTCTTCCTCTTCTTCTATTTATTAGTAATACAAATCACAAGATAGAGAACGCACGTTCTCATACCTGATGCATGGGGATCATACCATGTAATATCCTACTACGTATCCCCATGGCAATCGCCTAGGAACCATAACAATATGCGAGTTAGACTCAAACGTGTAATTCACGGATAGATTGAACGTAGATCGAGCTCAAGGTTAAAACCATCTCGTGCAACAACTCTATATAGGTTAGATCACCATTTTTGTCAACGAAACCCTCTCGGTCCTGGAATTTATGTTACTAACGGCCACGGTCGTCGAAATCGTACGTGAATTTCATACGGACGGACGGATTCGTCCAGTAATAATAAATAAGTTTTTTTTCACGCGCGCGCGAGTGAAAGTGAACGGGCACGAAGTAAAGAGGGCGAATGTCGAGCGTACGATCGTAAAAGAAAGAAAGGAAAAATAAAAAGAATTCCTCGGGATAATTCACTCGACGAAACGAAGCGGGGAGGGGAGGGGAGGGGAGGGGAGGCGCGAGGAGATCGACGCGGCAGATAGCGGGGCCGCGGGAAGGCCTATATCGAGCCCACCTTTCACTTCGACGAGGCTCCGGCTTTTTCGTCCACCCGTAGCCGCTAATTATCGCGCGAGAACGAAGATTCCCGCGGCTAGATAGCGCGTGGTAAAAGTAACCGCTTTCCGGATATCGAGTACGCGTTAACGAAGAGAGACGTTTTCGAGAAAGCATCCGCCGCCGCCGATATCGGATCTCTCTCTCTCTCGCTCTCTCTCTCTTTCGCTCTCGCTCTCGCTCTCTCTCTCTCTCTTTCGCTCTCGCTCTCGCTCTCGCTCGCTCGCTCGCTCGGTGAACGCAAAATCGTGAGAATAATTTTCACAACGCGTGTCGATCGATTGTGAACGCGTGTTTCCTTCTTCTCTAGGCGATGTGCCGGTTTCTATCGCGTTTCTCGCGGAGAGGGGAAGTTTCAAGCTATGCCAAAGATCCTCTTTGTGCAGAAAAGTGATTAATAGGTTGGATGGACGGTAGATGGAAAATTTCGGATAGAAAAATTAAACGCGGAGAAGGATAAATGTGACTCACCTTGATCGTGTATGTAGAACAGGCGCAGCAATCGCTTGAGTTGAAATTAATTAATCGCAATGTGGAAGTACTCTTAACCGTAGCGCGTTTCTAGAATTATGTATAAGCGTTCACACTCCGTTGTACGATCCTCTTCTCTTCTTTCTTTTCTTCTTAACAGCTATCGTTTATTATTTTTTTATTTTATTATTCTTACTGTTGTTGTCTTATTGTTGTTGTTGTTGTTATTATTATTATTCTCTTTGCCCTTTGTTGCTTGTTGTTGCCCGATCCGTCTCTATTACTTATATGTGTATGTGTACGTGTCTTGTTATTATATATTTATCTGTTTATATAATATATATATATATATATCATATAAATATTATTCTTATAAATATATCTGTGTCTGCAGGTACTTTGCTGTCCTGGTTCGTATATTAATCGATTATAAAGGGCTCGAAGGGGGAGAGGTATCGTTATGAAACGAGAATTTCTAAACCAAATCCAATCTTGGAAAACGAAATCTTTCCTCTCTCGTTTTCAACGTTCTTTCGTTCGTTCGTTCGTTCGTTCGTTCGTCCGTCGATCTCGAATCGAGGAGATTATTCTTCTCTCTCTCTCTTTCTCTCTCTCGTTATACGTTCACGTCCGTATACATACGGCCACCGGGGACCTTTTATGCGTGTATATGTGTGTATGCACAATGTGTATATGTATGTAAAAGGGCTGTTTGACTTTCCAAACGCAAAGTGACGATTAAAACGTTAAAATTCTCCTCTCTTCCTTTCCTCTTCTATTTAAAATTTTCTCCCGCGCTCTTTCTCTTTCCTTCTCTCTCTCTCTGATTCTTTTTGTCTCTGTATAGATATATATATAATATTTATATATATATATATATGTGTGTGTGTGTATAACGTTGCTATTATTATTAATATTATTATTTTGTATTATTATTATTATTATTATTATTATTATTATTATTATTATTATTATTATTATTATTTTGTATTATTATTATTTGTAGTCGCGTTCTTCGGAGGGGCCTAGGCACTATTACGCTGCGAAAAAGAGGTTTAAGTTTGAAGGTACTTGTACGCACGAGGTATATGTTCTCAAGGTAGAAGTTTATTATTATTAATATTGTTGTTATTATTATTATTATTATTATTATTATTAATGTTATTGTTATTATTATTATAGTTATTATTATTATTATTATTAATTTTTTTTTTCCAACGTAGGAGCAACGCAGCGATAACCCGCTGTAAAGGAGAAGAACGGGCTTGTCTTGTGTGCTCGTCCGGCCAACTCTGGTCAAAAGGGAAGGGACTTTTACTAACTTCTCAAGGTTCTCCCGCTTTTTCCAACCCCTTCCCCTTCTCGTTCGATCTCTCTCTCTCTCCCTCCACCAGTTGCCAGTTTATATTCCGTCTCGAAAGCACGTGTGTGTGTGTATGTGTGTGTGTGTGTGTGTGTTGTTTCCTCTTTATAATGTTCTCCCTCTCTCTCTCTTTCTCTCTCTCTCTCTCCTCCCTTCGTCTCTTCCTTCGTCTTCGTCTCACCGTTCCTCTTCCTTCGTTTTTTTCGTCCTCTTCCTCTTCTCCTTCTTCTTTTTTCGCTTTTTCCTCCTCGTTTTCTTCCGAATGGTGAGCCTTTTCGCTTGACAATCGACGGCGGCGCCCTCTACGCCGCGGTACGCACTCTCACGGAAGGTCAGAAGTCGTTATCACCTCCTCGAGTTTTCCCACTTGCTAGCCACATCGCCCTGGGCCCCGCACCCGCCCTCCTCCACCGGCTGCTCAACCACCACCACCACCACCACCACCATCTGGAACAAAGAGAAAACGGGGCCGTTTTAGGGATCAGTTATATAATCGTTCACGGATTATTGCCACGGGGGGTGAGAAGATCGGTGGATTCAGGTTATAGGTTATGTATGACACGCTGACTTCCCGTAACTGATTTTTCCAGGATCTTTTATTCTAAATCATCGATCTTTTATTCTAAATCATCGATCTTTTATTCTAAATTATTAATCTAGATTATTATCTTTTGTTCTAAATTATTCTAATTATTCTAAATTATATTGTTAATATAATTTATTTGTTGTATAATTTATTTGTTAATTAATTTATATTGTCAATATTTGTCGAAGAGATACAGAGTGGAAAACGTAACGAAGTTTTGATATAATTTGTAATAGTAAAGAGGAATTCGATTTTCGAGGTTGATGTAATATCGTGTTTATTTGGTTTATTTGGTTTTAACTGATTCGAATAGAATTATACAGTGCAGTTTACGAGTTGATAATCTTTTCGATTATCAAGAAAATTTGAACGAGAGATGGTATTTATTAATTTTACGTTACATTCTTTGCTATTGCGTGGAGAAAACGCATAGATTTCACGATAATCGAAATAATTTCGGAGAAAGAGATCAGTGGATTTAGGTTAGGTTATGTATGACACGCTGACTTTTCAGGATCGTGTCAAGGATATCATTGATCTTTTATATTCTAGATCATATTGCGCGAATATTAATCGAAGAGACAGTGGAAAATATTTTCGTGTAACGAAGTTTTGATATAATTTGTAAGAGTAAAGAGGAATTTCGAGGTTGCTGTAATATCGTGTTTATTTGGTTTATTTGGTTTTAACTGATTCGAATAGAATTATACAGTGCAGTTTACGAGTTGATAATCTTTTCGATTATCAAGAAAATTTGAACGAGAGATGGTATTTATTAATTTTACGTTACATTCGTTGCTATTGCGTGGAGAAAACGGATAGATTTTTCAACGGATAATCGAAATAATTTCGATTTAGAACTTGGACTTTGAAGTTTCGCAGTTTTGAGAGGAAGAAGAAAAAAACAAAGGAACGTAATATCTTTCGAAACGGAATGACGCGTGTTCGCCAGAGGATCGCCAAGTATGTTGCTCTTAAAATGCATGCGCGTTTCTCTTGGAAGCCGGAAAATTAATTTTCACGGAATAATCGCGGGCAAAGTGGAACGCGCAGCCAAACGATCTAAACGATCCTGACAAATCCGTCGCGAATTTGATTAATTTAATACGATTTCTCCTGATATCTATTGAAACTCGAATTTTTTCCAAAACGAGAGAAGAAAAAAAGGACAGAAATCTGACAGCTTCTGTTTAAATTTATGTAAGAAAAAATTCAAGGAAAAATTTCGAGGATTCTTTAACAACGTTCTCAAAGTGAAAACATACGTGATACGATTAAAAAAAGAAATTGAATGTTACTTTTAATGGATCTATATCGCGATTAAACGTGTGCATGCAATTATGGTACAAAAAAAAAAAAAAATCAAGCGATAAATTTTCGTTCTTATTTTTCCCTATAACACGTTCCAATAATTCTCATGATATACAATTTGTACGACCTGTTATTACACAAAAATAAATTAGTTTTCGATAAACTTAAGCGAGTTAGTCGAATATTATATTTCTCGCCATTTTTACAAAGGAATAAAAAAAAAAAAGGAATATATCTTCATCCCTCTCCTCAAGAAAAGAAATATTTAACAATTTTTAAAACACGATCCTTTCAAAAAAAAAAATATATATATATATCTTCATCCCTCTCCTCAAGAAAAGAAATATTTAACAATTTTTAAAACGCGATCCTTTCAAAAAAAAAAAAA